GTGATTGGTCAGTGGTAAGTCCAAACTACAGCATTAAGACAGTCAATTTTAGGACGCTTGTTTCCCTCTTCAAAAGACCAAAAAAGAACAAATGACAATGACGGTATATTATTTTTTCCTTAATCCGTAGTGCTCTGTTACCTGTGGCGCCGGCATCAGGACCCGAGATGTCGCTTGTCGAATTGTAGGAACCACCACTGTTGTTTCAAATGATAACTGTGGTGCCACAGAACAGCCGACCTCTGTGGAAGTCTGCACTCTGCAAGCTTGCTCAGTTTACAAATATATTGTAGGCGAATGGGGAACAGTTAGTACTTTTAATTATATTATTATGTAATAAACTACACAGAGGAAAAATACGTTTAATAGCAAATGACTACATGGTATTATAATATACAAATAATACAATTTACCCTTATTGTACCTTTTAGTTAAACTAAAAATATAATATTTTTACTGGCAATGGTAAAATACACAAAATTACATAAAATACAATACAAAATAAAGTCAAGAAGACTAATCAATAGTAAAGTAAAACGGAGAGGCAAATTTAACTGAAAAATAAAGAATACCATTATAATTTTGTATAACTTAAATACGCATAAAGCCAAATTAGCTTATGACATAACACCAAAAAAGCATTATAAAAAAAAAAAAAACTTGTTTTACAAAATGAAAATTGTGTATCATAAAGTAATTAGAAAATCAATAAAAACCTATAATGAAATAACTAAACTTTACTTGAATATACTTAAATAATTATAAACTTAAGGTACTCGTAGTAAATACTTATTATATACCTTCATAAAATACTTGCTATCTTTCAGTGCTCTGTAACCTGTGCAAGTGGAGTCAGAAGTCGTTCTGTCACTTGTGTCGAAGTAGCAACAAATGTTGCAGTAGACAATAGTTTCTGTGTTGCGCTTACTGCTCCAGATACTAACGAGGTCTGCACACTCTCTGCTTGTCCCACGTATGGTTTCATAGCCGGTGATTGGTCAGTGGTAA